GAGGTCAGTGGACAAGAGATGGATAGATGGAGAGGTCAGTGGACAAGAGATGGATAGATGGAGAGGTCAGTGGACAATAGACGGATATATGGAGAGGTCAGTGGACAATAGATACATGGATAGATGGAGAGGTCAGTGGACAATAGATGGACGAATGGAAGATAGCTGGAGGATGGGTGAGTGGAGGATGGCTGGCTGGCTGGATGATGAGATGGATGGATATAAGATGGATAGGTAGATGGGTGGAAGATAGATAGCTGGAGGATGGGTGGGTGGAGGATGGCTGTCTGGTTGACTAGATGGATGGATGGAGCGTGGATAGATGGATAGGTGGTGGATGGATGGAGAATGGGTGGGTGGAGGATGGCTGGTTGGCTGAGGGCCGGTTGATTGGCCAGGTGGGTGAATGGATGATGTACGGATGTACATCTGTATAGAGGATGGGCGGGTGGGGGACGGCTGGTTGGCTGGATGACTAGATGGATGGATGATGGATGGAGGATGGAGAATGGATGGATGGATGGATGGATGGAGGATGGGTAGTGGAGGATGGCTGGTTGGCTAGATGACTAGATGGATGGATGGAGGATGGAGGATGGATGGATGGATGGGTGGGTGGAGGATGGCTGGCTGGCTGAGGACCGGTTTGTTGGCCAGGTGGGTGAATGGATGATGTATGGATGTATATCTGTATAGAGAATGGGCGGGTGGAGGATGGCTGGTTGGCTGGATGACTAGATGGATGGATGGAAGATGGATAGATGGATGGAGAATGGATGGATGGATGGATGGATGGATGGATGGAGGATGGGCGGGTGGAGGATGGCTGGCTGGCTAGCTGAGGACCAGCTGGTTGGCTAGGTGGGTGAATGGATGACGTACAGATGAATATCTGTATAGAGGATGGGTGGGTGAGGATGGCGGGTTGGCTGACGGCCGGTTGGTTGGCTAGGTGGGTGAATGGATGACGTACAGATGAATATCTATATAGAGGATGGGTGGGTGAGGATGGCGGGTCGGCTGACAGCCGGTTGGTTGGCTAGGTGGGTGAATGGATGACGTACAGATGAATATCTGTATAGAGGATGGGTGGGTGGAGGATGGCGGGTTGGCTGACGGCCGGTTGGTTGGCTAGGTGGGTGAATGGATGATGTATGGATGTATATCTGTATAGAGAATGGGCGGGTGGAGGATGGCTGGTTGGCTGGATGACTAGATGGATGGATGGAAGATGGATGGAGGATGGAGGATGGACAGATGGATGGATGGATGGAGGATGGGCGAGTGGAGGATAGCTGGTTGGCTGGATGACTAGATGGATGGATGGAAGATGGATGGCGGATGGACGGATGGATAGATGGAGGATGGGCGGGTGGAGGATGGCTGGCTGGCTGACCAGCTGGTTGGCTAGGTGGGTGAATGGATGATGTATGGATGTATTTCTGTATAGAGGATGGGTGGGTGGGGGATGGCTGGTTGGTTAGCTGACTAGATGGATGGATGGAGGACGGAGGATGGATGGATGGATGGATGGATGGATGGATGGATGGATGGACGGATGGACGGACGGATGGATGGATGGATGGAGGATGGGTGGGTGGAAGATGGCTTGATAGCTGGCTGAGGACCAGTTGATTGGCTAGGTGGGTGAACGGATGATGTACGGATGTATATCTGTATAGAGGATGGGCGGGTGGGAGATGGCTGGTTGGCTGGATGACTAGATGGATGGATGGATGGATGGTTGGATGGATGGATGGATGGATGGAGGATGGGTGGGTGGGTGGAGGATGGCTGGCTGGCTGAGGACCGGTTGGTTGGCTAGGTGGGTGAACGGATGATGTACAGATGTATATTTGTATAGAGGATGGGCGGGTAGGAGATGGCTGGTTGGCTGGATGACTAGATGGATGGATGGATGGATGGATGGATGGAGGATGGGTGGGTGGAGGATGGCTGGCTGGCTGAGGACCGGTTGGTTGGCTAGGTGGGTGAATGGATGATGTACGGATGTGTATCTGTATAGAGCATGGGCGGGTGGGAGATGGCTGGTTGGCTGGTTGGCTGGATGACTGGATGGATGGATGGATGGATGGATGGATGGATGGATGGATGGAGGATGGGTGGGTGGAGGATGGCTGGCTGGCTGAGGACCGGTTGGTTGGCTAGGTGGGTGAACGGATGATGTACGGATGTATATCTGTATAGAGGATGGGCGGGTGGGAGATGGCTGGTTGGCTGGATGACTAGATGGATGGATGGATGGATGGATAGATGGATGGATGGATGGATGGATGGAGGATGGGTGGGTGGAGGATGGCTGGCTGGCTGAGGACCGGTTGGTTGGCTAGGTGGGTGAACGGATGATGTACGGATGTATATCTGTATAGAGGATGGGTGGGTGGTGGGGCAGGTGGGCAGGCAGTTGTTTGTGAGGCATCTTTTTTGCGTGAGGCACTGTGTGAACTAAGTGCTTTATGTTCTGTGGTCTCGCATCATCCTCCCTGGGCTCCCAGTGAGACAGAACTCACATGCTGCATCAAGTGAAAGTGAGGCTCTCGCATCCTCGTGCAGAGGTGCAGGTGGAGGCTCAGAGCTGGGCTGTAAGTCCAGCTGGTGTTTGAGCTCTCTCTCTGAATGCTTCTTAGCAATAAAACAAGTCCTTCCCCATAAACAAAACCTCACAAAAATCTAAGGACCATGCCACTGCCATGCTGTGTGTGCAGCAGCCACCTTGCCAGCCTTTCCCCAGACGGGGTTCAGCTCTGTGCAACAGCCAGATTGTGGGAGGTGCCCGGCCGTGGTGGCTGCTGCACTAAGTGCCTTTGAGAATTCCCGGAGCTGGTTAGAGGAAGAGGCTCTGCACCCCTGGGCTGCCTGGCCGTGGTGGCCGCTGCACTAAGTGCCTTTGAGAATTCCCGGAGCTGGTTAGAGGAAGAGGCTCTGCACCCCTGGGCTGCCACAACAGCGCTTCACGGAGGCATCCCTGCCCAGCAGCCTCCAGGGAGGGCCAGCTCACTCTGCCCATCTCTGCCAGGGATTGAGAAGAGGCCCTGGAGAGCCTCATCCCCAGCCCTGGGGAAGGGTGGCCAGGCTTGAAGACAATGACCCCTGCAGAGCAGATGGGACTGAGAAAGGACTCGTGGCCAGAAGGCAGAGGTGAGCAGGGTGAGATGATGCCCAGGCTCCACCCAGCCGAAGAAAGCAGTGCCTACTTCCATCTGTCTCCTCGGAAGGAAGGTCGGCGTCCTCGTTCTTGTCATCTACTGGAGGCTCTTGGGAAGGCATGACAGAATCCTGCCGGAGAGACGGAGAGATGGCAGCATGACCAAGTGCTGGAGCAGGTGTTACAAGGTAGCCTCTGTAAACACTTCGTGACTTTTTTTTAATTAAAAACATTTTTTTTTTATAGACAGGGTCACACTCTGTCATCATCCAGGCTGGAGGGCAGTGGCATGATCACGGTTCACTGCAGCTTCAACCTCCTGAGCTCAAGCAAAATCCTCCCACCTCAGCTTCCAGAGCAGCTAGCACGACAGGTGCGCACCACCACACCTGGCTAGTTTTTGAATTTTTTGTAGAGATGGGGTCTCACCATATTGCCCAGGCTGGTCTTGAACTCCTGGCCTCAAGTGATCCTCCCACAGTGTTGGGATTACAGGCGTGAGCCTCTGCACCTGGCCACTTCAAGACTATCTATGATTCACATATTTACACATTACAATGGTTATATTGTAATATAGTATATAAAAATCTAATTATGCTATTGTACCAAATAAAGAACATAAACACTACCTATGATTCTGGAGACAAAGGTGGCCACTCAGTACTGTAGGCCAAGTGCTGTCTACAATGGGATCTTTTGCACAATGCTTGGTCATCTCTCCTGCCCCAAAGCTGCATCCTGGCAGTAACCAAACATCAGGGGGACCATTCTAAGGGCCTCTGGGTTCCGCCTGCAGGTGCATCATAATGGAGTCACCCGTACTGGCGGTCAGTTGGGTGGCAGCCTCTGGCCTCCCTCTGCCTCTAGCTGACCACATTTCTGGGGCCGGTCTCATTTGCTTATGCTAAAGTGGACCCATGGGGTCAAAGGGCATTACAGGCTTTTTGGCAGATGCAGCTGAAGGACCTCTGGAAGGACTATGCCAATGCATGCACCAGCCTGCGTGGCCCCCCATCCCTGTGCCTGGTGATCCTGGGGTGACACCCTGATCCAGACTCTGTCTTTATCCTGTAATAGAGGAGAGGGCACGTCGCCCCTACAGGCACCTTTCCTCCCATGCCACGGCAAGATGCAGATGAGCCACCCTCCCCAGACACACCCACCGCACACTGCAGTGGGGCCCAGGGAGCTGAATGTTCAGTCCAGGCCTCGCCCCCGTGGTTCAGTGAGATGCAGGGGGCCATGCGGAAATGCCAGAGGCAGCCTTCAATAAGGAAAAGTCAACAAGGCCCCAAAAGGCCTTGTTGTGGGAGGTACCCACAACACCTCCCAAGTGTGGGAGGATGCTTCAAGTCCAAGCACTCGGGGACGGCAGAGGGAAGGTGCCGCCCTCATCACAGGCTGGGCATGGCTTCCCAGGGAGGATTCCCGAGAAAGGCTCCAGATGTCCGGAGCCTCAGCATGCCCAATGCTACTGAGGTCAGACCTGGCTTTCACCTCCACAGTCCCGAAGAGCTGGTTCAGGACTGGAGTATGAATGAACCTTACCCCCGCCCCACTGAGCAGAGCATGCCAGGTCCTACCTGAGACTGTCACCTGAGCCTCATGCCACAATGAGCAGAGCGTGCCAGGGGCTCGTGGGGGCTCAGGAAGACGGGTCCTACCCGAGACTGCTGCCTGAGTCTCACGCTGCAGCCCAGAGGTAGGACAGCACCACGGCCCCTCTTGAAGAACCCAGGGTCACCAAGGTCTGCTTGGACAATGGGCTGGCAGCCACGCCCCGGCCCCGCCCATGCTCCCTAGGGCCCACCCAGCCCTGCAACTCACCATATGCTTCCTGCAGGTCAGCGGGACGAGGCCGTGGCAGCGCTTATGGACCAGCAGTTTGCAGTTGATGCACCTGTAGCCTTGCCTCGCGAGGCCCCATATCCTCTCGCTGCACTGACCGCAGTACGCTCTCTGTAGACGGGAACAGAGCATCAGGCCCAGGCCACGTTGAGGGGCCAGCGGAGAGAGGGCAGGCAGAGCCTTCCACACCTGTACCTTCTCAAAAGAGGACACTGAGCCAGGCAACAGGTGGCCCCGGCACCTTGTCCCTTCCGGGCGCCAGGCTTGCCCAAGCTCGGCAGCTTCCTCTTGGGTCCACCCCAAGGTTGGGGGAACCAACAGCCCCAAGGAGAGGCCTGGAACCCTGTTCTGCATGAGAGAACACAGGGGAGGCCCCATCGGGCAGGGGAGACGAGGCGCTGCTTCAGGCAAGGCCCCCTGGTTTGCAGGGGCTGGGGGGCTGCAGCTCCTGCTGGGCTCTGCGTAGGGCAGCCTGGGGTCCTGTCTAGGGCTGAGCAGAGTGTAGGGCACCCCCTGCCTGATCTTCATTCAAACAGAACCTCCTCCCGACAGCCTCAGAGAAGGTGAACTCGGACCACAAACATCTCGAACTACTACACCACAGCCTGCAATTATCTTAGTATTCTTTGCTCAGTATTTTTCAAGATTTTAAATGATCCTTCTTTATTCTTCATGGTTCTGAACAATTCGAAAATGATGGTAATTATCAGTTTGTTTGGCAACGTTTTCACGAGCGTTTAAATGTTACGAAAGGCATAACTATGAATGTTGCCGGGACCTGCTTGGACATTTTCTGCCTTGCCCAAGTGCCCGAAGGGTTCCTGGGAGCAAATCATCTACACTGTCACCGCGTGCCCAGAGTCTCCCGTTTAGATTCTTTCCAGACATAACCCTTTCATATGCTTTTTCCTCTTTTACCATTTTTCACGAATTTCCTTCCTATTACAGAGTGTCACCTCACACCCAGTGAAGAGGAAATACAGTGTACTGTGAACGGCATGAACTGAATTCACGTGAGGAAACGGGACCCTCAGCACGTGTGGGCACCAGGTGCATCTGAGCAAACGGGGCTCACACCCCCTACAAGACTCTCCTGCTCATCAGAAAGAGCCTGCTTGGGGCGCCAGGGCCCGGGGACTCTTCCCCCGCCCACAGCCCGCTTGTTTGGGTGGGGACAGATAACCAGCACCTAGGACAGTGCCCAGCACACAGCGGGCATCAGGTAAGAAAACACACGGGCATCATCGCTTTCAACTTCCGTAACAGGAAAAAGGAGCTGACTCCGCATCCTCTGCACAGGCTACCTACATCAGCCTGGCCGTGACAGAGCCAAACCAGGCCCGTGGGCTCTATCCGAAGGAGGGATGGGTGGGAGGGGGCATCCCACCCGAGACCTCTGACTCGGGGCCAAGCTAGCTTAACGCCGGCACCAGGAGTTTTGCCCCGTTGGATGTGTGGACCCTGGAGTTAAAGGAGTTGCTTTGGCTGCTGAATGTGTGGACCCTGGAGTCAAAGGAGGCAGGCTCTGCCTCCTAGGCTCAAGTGATTCTCCTGTCTCAGTCTCTTGAGTAGCTGGGATTGTAGGTGCCTGCCACCACGTCTGCCTAATTTTTTATTTTTAGTAGAGACAAAGTTTCACAAAGTTGGCCAGGCTGGTCTCGAACTCCTGACCTCAGGTGATCTGCCCACTCCAGCCTCCCAAAGTGCTGGGATTACAGGCATGAGCTACCGCACCAGGCCTCCCTGCTCATATTTTCTTTTCTTTTTCTTTTTTTTTGAGATGGAGTCTTGATCTGTTGCCCAGGCTGCAGTACAGTGGCATGATCCTGGCTCACTGAAACCTCCAGGTCCCTGGTTCAAGCTATTCCCCTGCCTCAGCCTCCCCAATAGCTGGGATTGCAGGCACCCATCACTATGCCCGGCTAAATTTTGTTGTATTTTTAGATGAGATGGGATTTCACTATGTTGACCAGCCTGGTCTCGAACTCCTGACCTCAGGCAATCTGCCTGCCTCGGCCTCCCAAAGTGCTGGGATTACATGTGTGAGCCATCACGCCCGGTCTCCTGCTCGTATTTTCAATGACCCATTTTCATGTTTTGGACCCTTACCTATTCTGATGGTTGGAGCCCGTTTGGGCTTTTACCAGCTTGGGCTCAGGATATCCTGCTTCCCACCGTGTTTTGTGGTTTTCGATTGCGAGCTCAAATGCCTGATTCATTTATCGGCGGGAATTCTTTGAGGCTGGCTTGAAGGGGAACTGCGTTGGCCTCTGCCAGTCACCTGGGGGCACTGCTTGGACCAAACCTGACAGGCACTGCTGCTCCTGGGTGGCATCTTCTGATATCCCTTCCCCACCTTCACTCTATAGCCTCTTCTCCAGGGACCCAAGTGGTCACTCCTCTGTCCACTCATGATAAAGGCCAAAGTCTTGGGCTGTCCACCCAGCTGTCCCTGTGGCTCTCGTGCCCTGTGTGCCACCAGCAGAGGGCTCTCCAGCAGGCACCACTCAGAGACATGGCCTGCCATGGTTTATACTCCACATGGTAGAGTGGGTTGTTCACAGCAAAGGGAGTGGCAAACTCCAGACACGATTCCCACTCTTGCTTGTAAAAATAATGCTGAGCTGATCTTCTCCATACACAAACCTCCGAATGACGGGTGATTTCTTTTGAAGAGAGGCAGGATGAGAACATCGCTGCACATTTCCTGCGTGATTTCCAGACAGTAGGGTCCGTGTCTGCCCCACATCCCCAGGGTTGGCAGACCCCATGACAGCAACCCTGGGCTTTAATTACTTTTTTGTTGTTTTGTTTTTGTTTTTTGTTGTTTTGAGGTGGAGTCCTGCTCTGTCGCCCAGGCTGGAGTGCAGTGGTGCAATCTCGGCTCACTGCAACCTCTGCCTCCCGGGTTCAAGCAATTCTCTGCACAAGAACCCACCCCAACGCCCAGATAATTTTTTTGTATTTTTAGTAGAGATGGGGTTTCACCAACTTGGCCAGGCTGGTCTTTTTTTTTTTTTTTTTTTTTTTTTGAGACGGAGTCTTGCTCTGTCACCCAGGCTGGAGTGCAGTAGCTGGATCTCAAATCACTGCAAGCTCCGCCTCCCGGGTTCCCGCCATTCTCCTGCCTCAGCCTCCCGAGTAGCTGGGACTACAGGCACCTGCCACCTCGCGTGGCTAGTTTTTTGTATTTTCTAGTAGAGACGGGGTTTCACCGTGTTAGCCAGAATGGTCTCGATCTCCTGACCTCGTGATCCGCCCATCTCGGCCTCCCAAAGTGCTGGGATTACAGGCTTGAGCCACCGCGCCTGGCCAAGGCTGGTCTTGAACTGCTGACCTCGTGATCCACCGGCCTCAGCCTCCCAGAGTGCTGGGATTACAGGCGTGAGCCACCACGCCCGGCTGACTTTAATGACTTTTAACACCTTCGATGTTGACAGAGAAAATGTCTTGTGTTCCCCTGATCACTTGTGGAGGTCATGCTGTCCTCATCTCTAAACAATTACAGTCTTACTTCCTCAACCACTCACACCTGTTCTGTTTCTTGGTCCCAGCATTTACCAAAAGCCTTTGTGTAGGAGCTCTCTAATCCTAAGTGTGAGTTGTCTGGATCTCTTCTGGGTTTTATGTGCTACAAACCCTTTTCCTATATGTTTTTTGCATTTAATCTGGAAACTTAAAAAATCAATCTGTGTGGCTGAGTCTAAAGACCCTCTGGTCCTCACTGCCCAGTTTTTCTCCAGATATCTACACGGCTTCCAGGTTTCTTTTTTTCATTTATTTGAGAAGCAGTCTCACTCTGTCGCCCAGTGGCAAAATCTCGGCTCACCGCAATCCCCGCCTCCTGGGTTCAAGCAATTCTCCTGCCTCAGACTCCCAAGTAGCTGGAATTACAGGCATGCGCCACCACGCCCAGCTAATTTTTGTATTTTTAGTAGAGATGGGGTTTCACCATGTTGGCCAGATGGATCTCGAACTCCTGGCCTCAAGTAATCCACCCATCTCGGCCTCCCCAGGTGCTGGGATTACAGGCGTGAGCCACTGCGCCAGGCCCTGTGATTTTTTTTTAACCTCAATCCACCTGCAATTTACTGTGACGGGAGCCAGCAGGCTGGATTCCTACCCACCTCACCCCCAGTTCCTGGGCTGATAATTAACCAATCGCCTCCTCGGGATTTACTGCAGGATCCGTTCCCTCCTCCTCTACAGGAAGTGCTCAGTCCTGCGGGGCCCAGGGCCAGCTCTGACCCAGCAGTTCTGACCCATTGAGTGGGCTTCCCTATCCCCCCACCCCAAACTGTCCTTCACAGGGGAGGCAGCCCCTCCTCACCTTCTTCTTCAGAACCTTGCTGGCTCTCTCCCTTTGGTTTCCCCCACTGAATGCTTCCTTCTCAAAGTCCAAGGGCAGTCATTTCAAGTGCACATAAAGACTCAGGCAGGGAGCCCAGTCCTGAGCGACTGATGCCCACTCTTTCATCCTTGGTTCACCAACAAAGAGGACGGAAAAGTCTCTCTTCTGATGCCCACTCTTTCATCCTTGGTTCACCAACAAAGAGGACAGAAGTCTCTTCTCCTGGTGCTTGTTCCCCTTTAAGTCTTACTGATTCACACAAAACCAAGTGCTTCCCTCCTGAAATGCCCCTTTTAAGTGACAGTGGAGGTGATCTGAGTGGTCCTGCAATTAACATGAAGTGGGCGCTACACGGAGCGGCTCTGAGGTCTGGGCAGAGAATGTTACGAGCAGACGGCGAGATCAGAGCCTGGGCACAATTAGGTGGGAATTGGACAGGGTGAACTGCAGGCCAGCTGCCCTCCCTGAGCAATCGAGTTGCAGGCTTTCGGGCCACTCTTGCCTTGGCCTCTGTGTTTGTGAAACTGGCTCGTTCACATGCCCAGGAGGGCTGCACTTCCACGGCAGAGTGGAGCTGTAGTGGGTCACCCTGCCACCTGTTCCTCCAGTGTCTGCAGGAAGGAAAGGAAAAGCTTTTGCTCACTGGTGGTGGGGAGGGGAGGGTCGCTTATGGTCTGCACCTGCTATCGGCAAAATGGACTTTTCTCCTAAAAGCTGCACCATGAGAGGCCAGCACCCTGTGCTGCCTGGAGCCCCGGCCCATGTCGCTGGGTGAGTGGGTTCACTCTGAGCTAATCCGTCATGCAGAATGAGAGAAGAGGCCATGTGGAGACGGAAGCAGAGGTGAGTGGTTCCTCTGTGAACCCAGGAACAAGGCTGCCCACAGCTACCAGCGGCTGCGGGAGAAGGAGGGCGCGACCCTGCGGCACTGTAATGGGTAATAGTAGGCGCCAACTTGACTGGATTGAAGGATGCCTGGAGAACTGGTGAAGTATTGCTTCTGGGTGTGTCTATGAGGGTGCTGCCAGGAGAGTGGCATTTGAGTCAGTGGACTGGGAGGGCAACACCCACTCTCAATGTGGGTGGGCGGCATCCAACTGGCTGCCAGTGTGGCTGGGGCGAAGCAGGCAGAAGCGGGTGGGAGAAGCAGTTTTCCCGGGTCTTCTGGCTTTCATCTTTCTCCCATGCTGGACGCTTCCTGCCAGTTGTCCTGCCCTTGGACATCAGATTCCAGGTTCTTTGGCCTTTAGACTCTGGGAATTATTAGTGGTTTGCTGGGGGCTCTGGAGCCTCTGGCCACAGGCTGAAGTCTGCACTGTCCGCTTCCCTGCTTTTGAGGCTTTTGGACTCGGACTGAGCCACTACTGGCTTCTTTCTTGCCCAGCCTGCAGCCGGCCTATCGTAAGACTTCGCCTTGTGAGCCCGAGGCCAATTGGGAATCAACTCCCTTTCATGTACATGCATCCTATTGGTTCCATCCCTCTGGAGAACCCTGACTCATGAAGACACCTTCGTTTTGGACTTCCAGCCCCAGACTGCGGGAGAGTGAGCTTCTGTGGTTTAAGCCACAGGTTAGTGGTGCTCCGTTCTGCAGCCCCAGAAGGCTCACATCGTGTGTCCTCAGAGAAGGCGGCCAGGGTGGGCTGGGGTGTGGACAGGATCTCTGTGCTGCAACCCTCCCTGGCACCATACTCCACAGATGACCCCAGTGTGGCCACCTCCAGCCACACTTTCCTGAGTCCCAGCCCAGGCCAAACTGCCTATTCACTCACACCCACCTGCCCTAAGCACACAGCCCACAGCCGCCTAGGCTCCCCATGTCCTGGTGTCCCCAACCTCGTCCTCAGGGTCTCCCAGACACTGGCTGGACTCTCCCGTGCCTGCCACATCCTCGGTGCTCGTGGCATCTCTGCACTGACCTCCCAGGGAGTATGAACAAATGCCTCCTCCTCCAGGAAGTCCTCTGGGATCTCCAGGCAACGTCCAGGTCTTCCTAGCACCGGCCTACTGATCTCCTGGAGCCTAGTTCCCTCCACACCCCTCTCTTCAGTCACTCAGGAGCTTGTCCTGCATCCCCACCTGTGTCAGCCCCACGAGGAATGGGAGTCCAGACCCATTCTTGCCACATGACGGACTGAGCACACGCGGGGGCGGGAGGAGTGGCTGACATGCACAGAACTTCTTGATGGTCTAGAGAGCAGACCACAGGAGTAGAAGGAGGGGCAGGTGACCTGAGGTCGCTCCAGGAGATGGAGGAGCCGGACATCCAGCAGAGGTTGACACGTGAGGCCACGTGGCAGGTGGGTGTGGAACGCAAAGGTAGCTCCAGGGCCACTGCTCCTGATGACGAGGCAGCCTCCACGCAGCTCTCTCACAGTGACACACGTCCATGAACCCCCTGCCACCGTGCAGTCATCGTACTGGCTTTACAGGGAGGGAACCGAGGTACAGAAAGGGTGGTACAGAGGCAGAGAGAGCAGAGGGGCTGGGACTGAACCAGCACGGAGTGGCCTTGGGTGTCCCATCATGCTGGAGATGGCTGCTGGAGGCCACCTGTCATGGGGACAGACTGCAAGAAGCACGGGGCTGGCCAGGCAATAGCATGTGACAGGCCGTCAGGGGCTCTGTGTGGAGGCCCGCAGAGGGAACAGGCCCTCTATGCTTCTACCCACCCCCAAGACACTCCCTGTGTGGGACAAACTCCAGGGCCACCAAGGCACCCCAGACACCTCCCCTTCCACTGTGAAATACAACAATTACAAAAGCATCTGAATCACCCATTTTGTAAGAATTAGAAAAGCACCACAAAGAGAAACAAGGGAAGTAAGCTAAGTGTCCTCTGGAAAGGGCCCCCCCCATGGGTGGACGTTGGAAAGACAGAGACCCAAGTAGGGATGGGGCTGAAGGAGCTTCCGGGGTTCACGGAGACTCTTGCAGCCAATAGGAACACTGTGTGCAGCTAAAAACACACACCCTGGCACTACATGCGGAATGCGGCCGCTCCACTCTGGATGCAGGCAGGCTGGGGCCTCAGGCCAGCGAACCCTGAGCCTTGATAAAAGTCACGCAGCCAGGCAGACACAGACAGCATTCACTGGGCAGCCACCACACGGGGAAAGGCCCGGAGGGCACTTCCCGCCTCAGACAGCCCTAGTCAAAGCCTCATCCCCGCACCAGTGAAAGCATTTCTGTGACCCTGCCCTCGGGCGCCAAAAAGAGCCGAGCCTGGGCTCCGCAGGACGTGCCTTCCCTCCTCTCTCTTTGCTTTTAAAAGTAACAAAGGGCCCCTTGAGGGACTAGTCCCGAGGGGGCCACTCACCCTGTTAAAGCGCTTGGCTTGGAAGAGATGGCCGTTGGCACGGTACAGCTTCCTCCATCTTCTGGCTCCCCGGCGGTAGATGGATTCTGGAAAGGACAGGAGAAAGGCGTAAAGAAACAGAGTGGCAGCCACGAGTCCACGCAGGGTGCAGCTGCGACAGGCCACTCCCGTCCAGGTGGTGGTGGCTGCAGCGTCCTCCCAGGCAGGGAAGGTAGGGCTGGAATGACAGCCTCCCGGTGGCCGCTCTCTGCCCCTCCTCACATGATCCTCATGGTGTCACGGCCTTGGCGGCTGGAGACAGCGGCCCAGGTGAGGATGGAGCCAGGTGTCCTCGCAGGGCAGACAAGATCCACCACTGGACGGCCGCTGGCTGACAGTGGAGCGGTGAAGTCGCCCCAGGCCTGGCAGGCTGGGCTGTTTGCCCCCGCCTGTTTTCCTTTCCACCCTCTCCTCCCCAGGCAGCCCCGTGAAAAACAGGATTTTTTCCACACAGGGACAGTTCAAATGGGCCTCAATATTTACACATGACTGTCAGAGGAAGGAGAGCGGACGCCACACTGGAGCCTGAGCCAGGCTAAGATGCAGAGCGTCACTGACTTCACCTCAGGAACTCGCCAGACACAAGCGGCGCGAGGCCCAGGCTCTCCAGTCCAGTTTCCTTTAACCTAATAAATCTCAGGGCAGGAGAGCCAAACCAACCGTGCCCCCGTTTCCATTCGAAGTTACCAAAAACATCATCTTTATAACATGCATTTGACAGTCCAGCCCATGTGGACTGTGCCTCTTATGAAAAGTGCCAGTACCAAGCCTGTAACCAGACAGCGGGTCTTGTCCTCCTTCAAAACCGTGTCTCGCTTTGCTTCTCCAAAACGCTTTGAAACGGATGTGTGTGTAAACAGAATCTTTGGAAACGTAACGTACAACGCGAAGCTTTGTGCTTTTATAAAATTCTATCATAAAAGCGACTTTCATGAACCAAATGAAAGTGCCACGAATATACTGAAATGGAAATTGTAACGGAATGTTTTTAAAACAGGCAAATGACTAGCTCTGGCTGGAAACTGCTGAAATCAGGCCACACGGATGGTAAAACCTGCTCCTCTTCCTTTAAATATTCAGTGCGAGACCAAGAAGACAGCGGTCCTCCAGGAGCGCAGGTGAAACAGGCCTCACGGCGGCGGCGGGTGGTTCAGCCCCCCCAGCCCCCCAAGAAGGCTCAGCATCCCAGTAGCCTGGGGCACGGTACGGGGTTTGACAAAGGCCTGGTGACACCAAAGGCCCCTCCGGCCACAGACGCGACTGCCAGCAAGCACGAGGCCAGGCTGGGGCCGTGCAGCCTGTGCTCCCTCCGCATTCCACCCACCTGGGCGCCAGGCCTGGGCTCCACAAAAGGCGCAGACCCCCGGGGACGGCCACACTTTCGGCCCCTGCGCCCCTCAGCCCTGAGGAGGTCGGGTGAGCGCCCACGTGGCTCTGCCCACGACAACAGGGCGCATCCTGCCCTAACCAGCCCACAGCTGGTCCTGGCTCCAGGAGTCCGCAGGCCTGACTTTTCCCTTCGGGGGGCGCTCTGCCCGCCCAACAACCCTCTCTGAAGAGAAAAAGAGAAGCGTGTGAACCGGAGGAGATGGAGTCCCCGTGGGACACAGACACAGCGGCGCGCTGCTTGTTAGGGTGGGCCGGTGGCGAGTCGAGGGACGGACGCACAGCCAGGGGCGGAGCCGAGGGACGGACGCACAGCCAGGGGCGGAGCCGAGGGACGGACGCACAGCCGGGGGCGGAGCCGAGGGACGGACGCACAGCCGAGGGTGGAGCCGAAAAATGTGCGCACAGCCGGGGAGGGGGCAGAGTCTAGGGAAGGACGCACAGCGGGGGGCGGAGCCGAGAGGCGCACGCACAGATGGGGGCGGAGCCAAGGAATGGGCGCACAGCTGGGGGGCGGAGTCAAGAGATGGACGCACGGGGTTTGGGGGAACCGAAGGACGGATGCACAGCTGGGGGCGGTGCCAAAAGGCGGGCGCGCAGCTGGAGGGTGGAGCTGAAGGACGGACGCACAGCTGGGGGATGGAGCTGAGGAAGGGACGCACAGCTGGGGGGTGGAGCTGAGAGAAGGACGCACAGCTGGGGGCTGGAGCTGAGAGAAGGACGCACAGCTGGAGGGCGGAGCTGCTGGAAGGTGGAGCAGAAGGACGGACTTGCAGCTGGAGGGTGAAGCTGAGAGAAGGACGCACAGCTGGGGGTGGAGCTGAGGAACGAACGCGCAGCTGGAGGGCGGAGCTGAGAAGGACGCACAGCTGGGGGTGGAGCTGAGAGCAGGACGCACAGCTGGGGGGGTGGAGCTGAGAGCAGGACGCACAGCTGGGGGTGGAGCTGAGGGCCGGACGCACAGCTGGGGGGATGGAGCTGAGAAGGACGCACAGCTGGGGGTGGAGCTGAGGAACGGACGCGCAGCTGGGGGTGGAGCTGAGAGAAGGACGCACAGCTGGGGGGATGGAGCTGAGGAACGGACGCGCAGCTGGGGGTGGAGCTGAGGGCCGGACGCACAGCCAAGGGGGCGGAACCGAGGGACAGACGAGCAACTGATGGCAGAGACGAGGGACAGACGGACAACTAAGGGCTGAGCTAAAGGCTGGACGCACAGCTGTGGGGCGGAGCCGAGGGATGGACGCACAGCCGGGGGCGGAGTCGAGGGAATGGACGCACAGCCACGGACAGAGCCCAGGAAGGGATGCACAGCTGGGGGGCGGAGCCAAGGGGTGGGCGCGCAGCTGGACGGCGGAGCCGAGGGACGGAAGCACAGTCGAGGGGTCGGAGCCGAGGGATGGACAAGCAGCTGTGGGCAGAACCGAGGGGCGGATGCACAGCTGGGAGGCGGAGCCAAGGGACGGACACACAGCTGGGGGGCGGAGCTGAGCGACGGACACATAGCTGAGGGGCGGAGCCCAGGGACGGATGGAAGCTGGCTAGAGCAAGGACACAAGGGACCCACGCCCAGTGCGCCTGGGAAACCCTGAAAATGCGCCAACTGGACACCCTTCAAGTTCAATCAGTAAAGAGAGTGACGTCCTAGCAGACGCCAGGGCTCATCAGGGAGCCCCCAGCAGGCTGAACAAACTCTCCCACAGGACACAACACACAGCCCGGCGTCCCCAGTTTCCACCGGGACAAACTGAAGTGTCCCCTAAATTCACGTGGGGAGCCCTAGCTCCCAATGTGGCTGTATTTGGAGATGGGGACCCCACGCCTCCAGAACTTGAGAAAATAAGTTCCTGTCGTGTGTAAGTCACCCTGTCTGTGGGGTTCTGTCACAGCGGTCCAGGCGGGGACTGACCCCGCTTCCCACCACACACACACTCGGTCCCTCGGAGACTAAGGATGGAAACGTGGGCAGCAAAGCGGCGAAACATTTTAGAAGGAATTACAGAAGATCTTAGTCACCCTGAGTCACCTGCACACGTGAGAGACAAAGGGCCCGTGGCTAGGGACGCTGGACTGAAAAATCCACGAGGAAAATGGAGTCAAAATAGGAACAGAAGACCAGAGCAGGCGTCTCGCCCGAGAGACACAAGCATCTCAGCCCGGAGAACCATCGGAGCAACCTGCAAGGCTGCCCAGGCGTCTCCTACACTGTGGGCTCAGCACAAATCAATCCCCCGCAGCCCCAAATACCTTCGAGGCCCAGGAGTGCACCGGGGAAATGGCTTATTCTCTGGCAGAGCCTCGCAGCTCAGAAACGAGGACCGTTTGCTCCCCCTAGGGCCCGGCAGCCCTACTGCTGCTCCGGGAAAGCTCAGAAACACTGGCTCCTGGGCTCGGGAGCATTCAAGAATGTCTGATGATCCCAAGGTCTGTGGACAAGAGAATGCATAAACTGATGTGTGGGTGTCCAATGGAAGATACAGCCAGTGCGAAGCCCACCTCAGCCACGTGCAGTGGTCCAGAGGTGTCTTAAGAAACACCAAAAATCAAACCCTAGGGTGACAGAAACATGGTGCCATTGCTGTAAAACCAAACAAGTAAAAAAAAAAACAAACCCCAATAGGCCGGTGAGGTGGCTCATGCCTGTAATCCCAGCACTTTGGGAGGCTGAGGTGGGTGGATCACGAGGTCAGGAGATGGAGACCATCCTGACTAACACGGTGAAACCCCGTCTCTACTAAAAATGTAAAAAATGAGCCGGGCGTGGTAGTGGGCGCCTGCAGTCCCAGCTACTTGGGAGGCTGAGGCAGGAGAATGGTGTGAACCTGCGAGGCAGTGCTTGCAGTGAGCCGAGATTGCACCACTGCACTCCAGCCTGGACAACACAAGGAGACTCTCTCAAAAACAAAAGCAACATCTTGTTTTAGAATACACAGTCATGTGACAAAAATGTTCTAGTAAGCAAATAACCAATCCAATTTCAGGCTGGCAGCTGTAACCAACCCAGTTTCAGGCTGGCAGCGGTGGGGGACAGGCTGCGGCTGGCTAGGGCTTAAGTCCTGCCCCTGGCTGGCTGCTGGGGGCAGTGTCCATCGATTACCACGCTTTATATTGCTGGGAGTCCTGCGCTCCTAGCGTGTGTCAAAAGGTATGTTGAATAACAATAGAACTAAATGACCTGGGGGCCCAGGGACAGAGAGGATAATTTCAAGCATTTCCTTCAGACCTGCCTCCTTCAAATATCCCGTCTCACTTTTTAAACTTTAAGGATTCGTTTTGAACTTTTATTAGGGAAGGGAGTTGCCCCAGCCTGTGTTGCCCAGGCTGGTCTCCAACGCCTAACCTCTGGTGATACGCCCACCTTGGCCTCCCAAAGTGCTGGGATTACAGGCGTGAGCCACCGTACCCGGCCTTCAAATCAGATTTTTAAAAAGGAACAAAGAGCTCTGAGCCTACAAAGAAACTCCCAGGTGTAAGAAGTCACCAGCATCCCTACCTGCTCGCGGGCGCCGCCTGGAGCTTGGCTCGAGGCAGGACACAGGTGGCAGCCAGTGGTCAGCTCCAGGCGCCACGGGGACAAATTTGCAAATGCCAAAGGAAAATGAGCGAGAGGCAGGAATTCAAGTGACCCAAAGACCACAAAGGCGAGGCCACGCCCCACCCCACTGCAGTCCAGCTGGAAGGTCCAAGCCCATGATGGCGGCCCTCTTCTGGGAAGGCCAAGTGTGCTGGCACTGCCTGCGGGAGGGTCGAACCGTGTCAGGCGGGAGTCCTGCTGTGTGC